GAAAGCAATAGAACTGCCTGGCCATTCTCCAAAGCATTCAACAATCAAATAGATTGCTAAAATCATGAGCAATCATTTTGCTCTTTTGGGAATAGTTTCATTAACTCCATAAGTGATTATCATATAAAGACCAACAAGGGCACATCTTCTTACTTATTATGTTTGATTCCTATCATGATTCTTTGAGGACCACACACATTTTTTATTCACATTCCTCATGATGAGACATAAACACTTTGGCTAAGTCATTTTCCATCAATTTCCCTCTCCCTTTATCCGATTTATTATTCCGTGCGGAGTCCGGAGAGCGTCCGGAGACCAATAAAAATGTGTCACATCACCCAAAAAATGTACCGCGCTCGGTACTGAGCATGCACTTAAACGGACGGTTCTCCTGTCCGGTGTCCACATAGAATAATAGCTCCCCTTTATCCATTCTTTCATGTGGACCAAGTGGCAAAATTGTCATAATTGCATGTCATATTGAGCCAATTTTGAAAAGAAAAAGAAAGTAGATAAAGCTTTTTGATTTTTCTAAGTTGAATTGCTAAGTAGGGTTGGTATGCTAAAACCCTAAAATTGTAACTAATGATAAGTAGTTGATGGCTACAAAGTTGGTGTATGATTGAGGTTGAAGATAACAATGCTTTGGACAACTCAGCTGCCTATGTAGCTATTTGAATAGCTAGACAAACTTTAGCACATATAGTTTTTAATTCTCATTACATTTTATATTCATAGCTACTATGTGATGTTATAATGAGGAAATTTTTTTCTTCTCTCTCTTTTTAATAAGTTATGGTTGATTTGATAGCTTTAAATAAAATAATATGTTTTACAAAAATGATTGAAGAAGCTACATTATATCATTGTTTGGATGTAATTAGATGAATATTTAGCATGAATTTTAAAGTCTTTAAGGCTTCGTGTGACAGCTTTCTTATTGCTATTTAAAGCAGCTTTTAAGTACATAACATTTTTTGAACTAAAAAATTTTATACTAGAAAGCTGTCCCAAAATGAAGCCTAAGGCTTTGTTTGAGACAGTTTTCTCACCAATTCTTAAAGCGGTTTTCTAGTACAAAAAATTTAATTTCTGCATTTGAAAGTCGATTTAAGAGGCAGTAAGAAAGCAGTCCCAAACGAAACTTAAGTCTCATTAATTTAGAATTATATTACATAATTTTTGTAGCTTTTTATGAAAAATTTTGTTGAATATTTAAATTATCGAATTTATTTTAACATGATTATAATATTATTATCAATTTAAGATCAAGAAAATGCTGCCATAGTTTTTTTTTTTTTAATAATTTTTTACTTTGGTTCAAATCCAATTACCTAGCTTTTGAATAACATAGATTTGACTGATCTTGGCTTCTCATAGTTTTCTTCTTTTCTAGTCCCCATCTACAACAGATAAGACACCCTCATCTGTTCTTCAGTGTTAGTTCCAAATCAAGGATATGGGATAGAATCTTACAAAGTATAAAGTACAAGCTAATGCAATTACACATAAGAATTTTTTTTTCCCTTCAAATTTATTATGTACTTCGAATTTTAGATAAGGGGGAAAAAAAAATCTGTATTGATATATCATAAAAAATTAGTCATGATCGTGCGCGAATCTGGAAATTAAATTAAGTTGAAAACTTTCAAAATTAAATTCGGGACCATTCAAATTCAGATTTATGCAAACTTATAATCAAACTGAACATTTCAAACAAACGACCCAACGACCCCAAATTCGACCCAATCCGAGCCCAAATGAGTCTAAATCGAAGACCCAAAGAGCATTTGAAAGGTTCAAATCATAAATTGGATGACCGAACGGTTTCCAAATGTGACATGCTTACAGTCGAATCGAGCAGCTCGACGAGATGGATCCAACGAGTCCAAGATTGTTGAATTTTGACATCATCAAGGCACTCAAATTCTTGATAAATTGTCCATGATCAAAGTAGTCGATATCGTTCGTCCATTCAAAACACTCCCAACATTGTTATCTCAAATAAAATCTAAATTAATTTGTGCTAGTAGAAAAATATATTAGAACTTCAACTATTTTTCTTATTTCTTTCCCAACAAGTGATTGACATAATTTTTAGCCCTAAGACTTTCATCCTCAATGCTCTAACTCATACTTTGTGAAGTCATCAAACATAATACTCATTTCTTTGCTTGAAACACTTTGGATCAGTACATGTTAAATAACAGCTTTGAAGTTGTGATGTGATGATCATTTCAGATGAATTTAGACCTCTTTGGAAAAGCAAAAGTTAAAAAGGTCAGGAAAATTGCTACACAAATTGCATTTAGATCAACACAAATTTGTCTATTGATGGCGCCGTTAATGCAAAGATGCGCACTTAGCACAATTTTTCAATCAACTAGTAGTTGCCCATGCAACCCACCTTGATCTATAGCTCCCAATCAAGAGATTTTAAGTTCGAAGCTTGTATATCTGATGTAAGTGCAGTTTTGTATAACGGTGCCAATATTTTTTTATGAATCTCTTGTATTGAACTCATAGTGAATGAACACATGAGGCATATGGAAGCTTTATTACTTGACTACTATGGTCAAATCATCTTAAAGCTATGAACTTGACACATCTTTTGTAAGGCTCTCCATCATGACTACTTGAACACATAATGATGAAACCTTTAGATTCTTTGAGCTCATATTGAGGTCAAGAAAAGATTGATATAATCATCTTGATCACCGCTCAGTTTTCAAAGATAACACATTTATATAACAATGGCCTAATAATATGCCTAATATCTTTGATTTCCAAGGAGTTTCTAATATCTAATAATAGAGAAGACTAGGAGTGTGAATCTCACCCTATATTCTATGCAAATTAGGGGTGTCCTCGATGGGTCGGGTTCCGGTCGAATCCGAGCTGACACGGATTTAAATTGGTCAACCCGAACCCGACCCGTTTTTGCAAACGGGTCAGACATTTCAACCCGGACCTGACTCGACCCGACCCGTATTTCGCAGATTTGGCTGAACCGCGAGTTCGCGGGACCACGAGTGTGGCTGTGCGCGATCGCGAGCTCGCCTGCGATCGGCAGCGGTAGAGTCCAAGTCGCGAGCATGCCTGCGGAGCGGAGCTGGTGCGGGCTGGACGCGGGATCCTCCGAGGCGCCGAGTGCGGAGCAGTGCAGGCTGCGCTGAGTCCAAGTTGCTGTGCAGGCTCGCCTGGCTGGACGCGTGCAACGACGCGACCTGATGCAGACACGGCATCACCACCTAACGCGGACGTGACCTGACGAGCTGATGGGACGTGACCTGAGCAGCGGATTTGCGAAACGGGTCAATTCAGGTTGACCCGCGGGTTGTCGGGTTAACCCGAAACCGACCCGTTTTTTAAACGGGTCAGAAATCTGAACTCGGACCCGACCCGTTTCGCAAACGGGTTGACCCAAACCCAGATTTTTCCAGGTCGGGTCAAAAGTTGACACCCTTAATGCAAATATATATAATTTGAAAAGTTGCACTTCAATTATTTTTGCACTACCTTTCATCCCTTCTCACATAAAATACTAATTCCTTCATTGTTGCTACACTAATTCATGTAGTGTACCTCAAATCTCATGACAAAGGATTCATCAAGATGTTTGGATTTATATTTATATGTAGTGTTCTTCAAATCCCTCGAATAACTTCACTTATAGGGCAATATTAAAGTCTCAGCGGTAAACATTTAAAAAATTACTCTTAAAATTTAATAAATTCTAAATTAACAATACATTCAATAACATCCTACTTGTAGCCAAACATCCCCTAAACTTACTTCAACAAACCATACAATTAAGTTATCAATAAATTCCAATTAATATATTAAGGCTTCATTTTAGACAATTTTTTTGCTGCTTCTTAAAGCAGCTTTCAAGTACAAAAACTTCAACTTTTGTACTAAAAAAAGCTGTTTTAATAAATAGTAAAAAAAAGTCGTCCCAAACAAAGCCTAAGTAATCATATTGAACACATCACACAAAATAAGGCTTTTGGTCAAAATTGCAGCAGAAAACAGAAAGCAAAAAAACAGTAAAAAAAGTTATCACATATAAAATCTAAAATTTCATGAAAAAATATGAATAAAAAATAATTGATGAAAAAAGCTGCAAACAATTATGAAATTATTTTTAAAATAAAGAACAAATTCATTGAAATTCCTAACTTGTCCAAATAAGAAGGGCAGGCTCCGCAGCTTCTATTGAGTGTCGCCGGTAACAGTCTTGGCGATCTTTGCGCGGCGCTTGGACTTAGTGTAAGGGTAAAGTACCAATGGCGGCGATGATGAGAAAGCCACAGGCGGCCATCGCTGCCGGACTCCTGCCAAGGCTGCGCCGCTGGTGGAGCACTTCGCCGAGGATCGGACCAGGCGGTTTCTTCATCCCGTTCGATGCGTCGCTAATCTTTCTATTTTCCTCTGTCATTTCTTCCTTCTGTGAAGTGGGAGGGAAGGAAGCTTATGGGGAGAAGAGGAAAGGAGTTTTTACTAGAGATATGGATGGGGGTGGGAGATCTAGTTGAAGCTCGAAGCTCCGTTAATGGCGGGTGACATGTGTGGCGCAGGGCTAGGATGCTCGTGTGGTGAATGGGTTTATCAAGAAAATGTGAGCCAAACAATAATGTTTACTGTTTTATTAATTTGAGAAACAAAAAGAGCAATTTTTTATAGGAAATTTAAATGAATAATTCATTAAGCTTGAAGCTCGAAGCTCCGTTAATGGCGGGTGACATGTGGCGCAGGGCTAGGATGCTCGTGCGGTGAATGGGTTTATCAAGTAAATGTGAGCTAGCAATAAAGTTTACTGTTTTACTAATTCGAGAAACAAAAAATGCAAATTTTTGTATAGGAAATTTTAAAAAAATAATTCATTAAGCTTCAGTCGAGCAATTGAACTATTACAGATGACAATTTCAATATAACAAATGAATAGAAATTAAAATATCCTCAAAAACCAAAACAAGACAACTGATTGAAACTCCTCAAACCAGCACTAGGCCAACAACACCAACACCAATCAACAAAGCCAGAACAGCACCCACAAGCCCTCTTCCAGCTGTGGACACACCACCAGTCACCGGAGCCATTGCCGGAGAACCACTATCAAACTCTGCCGGAGCCGGCGCCGGCGATAAGCTACTCTGAAAACCCTCTCTGTGATTCTCTGATATCACCACAACAACAAGCTTTTCCCCCTTCTCACAGGCTCCTTCTACACCGCTTATGAAGTAGTGAGCTCCAGATCGGCGAAGCCTCACTCGTGTGTTGCCGTCCTGGTGCACGGCAATGGGGCTCGAAGTGTTGCAGCTATGGTAGTCCTTCTTCCTCACCTGGAGAACTGAGTCCTTCTTGGCGTCATAATCCCATACTGTCAAGCAATAGAATTTGCCATTTCTGCTCAGTGAAGAAGAACAAATTAACATATTTTGGGAGGAATAAGAGAGAGTTACTATAGAGTTTACCGAGGTAATCGCCGACTTGGAAGCGGTTGGCCTCAGCCCATTGGTTGAGAGAATCTGAATTAGAAGAAGGGATTTTCCATGCGCTGGGCTTTCCACCTACTGCGAAATCCTTTGCTTCTATGCTCATTATGCTGCTTATTGTGAGAAGGACGATGCGAAAGAGAAGGGAAGAAGCCATGGCGAGCGAGAGAGAGAGAGAGAGAGGGTTGATAAGTTATGGGAACATGAGTGGTGGAGGGGGGAATTTAAACTGGTGAGCAGAGGGAAAACTAGCCGTTGGGAAAGGGAAGAAAGCTTGCGAAGTGTGTTGATTTTTTTATTATAACGGCTAAGGCATTTTTTGTCTGGACTCTAACGTTCTAAAAATTAAGAGGATTTCTCAACGGAAATAATTAAATGTTCAGTGCTGTAAAAGGGAAAGTATTATGTTCTCTTTTTCATCAAGCTTTAAGACTACTGAAAATTCTGTTAAAATGATTTAAGCATCTTTAAGAACATAATAATACTACAAGTTATCAACTTGTAGCTTTAATATATGTTTTTTTTTCTCTAAAAATTATTTGAATTATATAGGATTTAAAGCCAACAAATCTTTCACATGCATACAAAATATATATAAAAAAAAACAGTTCTTCAATTTTAGAATCAATTAGATCCACTTTCAAAACCGGCATGTCATGATTGAAAAATATGATACAATAAGCTTAAAACTTTTAAAATAAGATTATAAATATGACCATTTATATTGCTTAATCACAAATATGCAAGCATATTTTAAATGCATAAGTTAAAAATATTTCTATTTGTTCAAACTTAAAAGAAATATAAAATAAAAATTAACTTATTTGTAATGCACAATCTACTCCAATTTTGATGTAATTGAAAATTATTAGATTTGGACAATTTTAAACTAGATCAAAAATTCTTTTTCATTACCTCCTATAATCGCAGACATTTGCTGCCACCACTACGGCTATCCATCTTGTCGTCATCGCCCACTAGCCATCACCATCACCCACCAACCATCACCATCATCATTGCCATCACCCACCAATGATAATTATCCTTAAATTTTATATGACTTTCAATTTACTTCAAGTTAAGAAAATTAATAAATAAATCACAACATTCGATGTATATTTATTCAAATATCTCAAAACATTTCAAATAGATTACATTCATCCCTTTTACGCTGCATTAAATTTTATTTTACACTATTTGTTCAACCAACCAAATGGCTCCTAAAGTTGAAGATTGTTAATAATAAGCAAATCAATGCTGAAATGATGATATTTTAAACTTGAATAGATTGTATGAAAAATAACTATACCAATTCCTGAAGACAACCTTTTTCAGTATTTTACCGATACAGCACACTGTTGTTTACATGCATCAGTTATAACGGGTACATTGACAGGTTAAAAAAAAAAAAAAAAAGAAGACAATAAACCAAAGGAAAATGAATAGCGTGAAGATTTACCTGAGAACAAATAACAGAATAATTCTAACGATTAAACAATAATTTACTGCTACTCGCTACACAATTTAGATTTGGAATAGATTAGATACAGACCAAAAAATTTTGTTTTTCATAGATTTAGATTTTGTTTGGAATGATTTTTTTACTACTTAAAGCAGCTTTTTAATATAAAATTTAAGTTTCGTTTGGGACGGCTTTCTTACTATTTTATGAAGCAACTTTTTAGTACAAATTTTTTAATTTTTGAACTAAAAAGTTGCTTTAAGTAGCAAGAAAACTGCCACAAACAAAACCTTAACTTTTATGCTAGAAAGCTGCTTTAGAGCAGTAAAAAAACCTCCCCATACAAAGCCTTAGATTTCATTTAGGACAACTTTTTATTGCTTTCTAAAATAATTTGTGTAATTTTTTTTTTGAATTAGATTTTTTTTTTGCAAGAAAATAACTTTAAAAAATAATAAAAAATCTATTAAGTTTCATTTGAGACAACTTTTGACCACTATTTCTTTACTATTCTAAAAAAATTTTTAAACTAGAAAACTACTTTAGAAAGCAATAAAAAGACTCCTAAAAAAACAATTTTAAAATAGAAGATTTTGGTACAAAATAAAAATAAAAAGGTGAAGGACAACATAAATTAAGGATGTTAAAAATTACAAGACGATTAATGTTAAATAAAAAGCCTCTATAGAAAGGAAAATTATTACGTGCAATGTCCGAATTTGCCTTGCATGTAATAATCTCTCCTTTAGAAAATATGTTAAGAAAGGTAGGGGTAGACCTAAAAAGACTTGGTTAGAAAATATTAGGAATGACCTTTCTTTATTAGGTTTAAATGAGAATTTGACTTTTAATAGAACACAATGGAGAAAAAGGATTCATGTAGCCGACCCCACGTAGTGGGATAAAGGCTTGATGTTGTTGTTGTTGTTACTCTAACGTTCTAAAAATTAAGAGGATTTCCCAACGGAAATAATTAAATGTTCAGTGCCGTAAAAGGGAAAGTATTATGTTCTCTTTTCATCACGTTTTATGGCTACAGAAAATTCAGTTAAAATGATTAAAGCATATTTAAGAACATAAACATGCACAACTTATCAACTTGTAGCTTTAAAATTTGTTCTATTTTTTTTTCCATCAAAAAATATCTGAATTATTAAGCTTTAAAGCCAACAAATCTTTCAAATGGATACAAAGTATATGAAAAAAAGCAGTTCTTCAATTAGATCCACTTTCAAAAATGGCATGTCATGATTGAAAAATAAGGTAATATATGCTTACAACTTTTAAAATAAGATTATACATATGACCAATTATATGGCTTAGGGCTTCGTTTGGGACGGCTTTTTTACTGCTTTTTAAAACGGAGTTTTAATACAAAAATAAAAAAATTTGTACTAAAACTCTGTTTTAGAAAGTAATAAAAAAGCTGTCCCAAACGAAGCCTTAATCACAATCATGCAAGCATATTTTAAATGCAGGAGTTAAAATATTTATATTTGTTCAAATGTAAAAGAAATATAAAATAAATCTCAGCATTTGTTTATACTTGTTTAAATATCTCCAAACATTTCAAATAAATTACATTCCATTCCTTTTACACTACATTCAGTTTTATCTTACATTCTTTTTTCAACCAACCAAATGACTCCTAAATTTGACGATTGTTAAAAATAAGCAAATCAATGCTTATTTTGAATAAAAAAAACACCCAATATGATCAACCAATGTTCACAATCAGATTCATTTATCAAACAAGTTTGAGCCTATTCATGAGTTCACTTGACTCAACCAACCCAGCATCACATGAGCACAATATACTAAAGGGTACATTGACAGGTAAAAAAAAAAAAGCAGAAAATAAACAAAAGGAAAATGAATAACGTGTAGATTTACATGAGAACAAGCAACATAATAATTCTAACGATTAAATAATAATTTACTGCTACTCGCCACACAATTTAGATTTAGAATAGATTAGATACATGTCAAAAAATCTTGTTTTTCATAAATTTAGGTTTTGTTTGGAATGACTTTTTTATTACTTAAAAACAGCTTTCTAATAAAAAAATTTAATTTTTAAAAAGCAGTAAAAAAGCCACCCCAAACAAAACCTTAGATTCATTTAGGACAACTTTTTGAATGCTTTCTAAAATAATGTGTGATTTTTTTTTTTTGAATTAAAAATTTTTGTGCAAGAAAATAACTTTGGAAATAATAAGAAAACTATTAAGTATCATTTGAGAACACTTTTGGCTACTATTTTTTACTATTCTAAAAAGATTTCTATACTAAAAAACTACTTCAGAAAGTAATAAAAACACTATCCCAAAAAGAAATTTTAGAATAGAAAAATTTGGTACGAAATAAAAAGGTGAAGGACAACATAAATTAAGGAAGTTACAAATTACAGGACGATTAATGTTAAATAAAAAGCGTCTATAGAAAGAAAAATTATTACGTGTAGCATCCGGATTTGTCTCCGGACAGTTCGGATACCGCACGTAATAATCTCTCATATAGAAAAGAGTAAAAAAGGAAAACAAAAAGGGCACATTGTGCAATGTGATTCTATTCTTTTTCAGCAAGCCGCTTCGTCAAGTCAAGAATATGCTGCCCATAAGTCCGAAGTTTATTTTTTAAATTTGTTGAAGCTTCCTGATATTTACTGTGCATCACTTTCATCTCATCCAAAGCCTCTTTTAGCCTCCTACGGTAAGTATCCATCTTCGCTTGTGTTGAGTTAAGCTTCATCCTCAATTTACTGCACTCTTCGTTGTTGTGATGAGCATTCTGCAACTGGAAATATTTTAGCTATAACAATAATTATAGCAGTTTAAGTAGCTCATTAGAAAACCAAAAATAAAAAATTGAGAAGCTAGGTGGAAGAGATTTCTTATAAAATAAGAATTACTAATGTAAAAGGAATAAAATGCTCCCAAAATATTTAAAAAATAATATGCAATTAAAGAGATGATCAATAGAGCTCCTCCAAAGCCCATCGAGACGTAAGAAAACAGGTCAAAATAAGTCATATTGTATCAATGTACTTTGTCAATGCAAATCTCAAAGCGATATTTGAATTAGAAACGTCCAAAATTATGAAGTCAAGACCATACAAACTCGCATTTTAACAAGTTCATAGTCAAATAGAACGTCTCTTAAACCCATCGACACAAATGATACAATCTATAAGCCCAATTGAGTCAAAATCAAGCATTTGAAGCATGTTTAGAACCTTCAAGACATTCATTGAAGGACCAAATGTTGTGTGCTTTATTTGGCACAAAAAATACATCATACAATTATCATCAGCTTCATTTGCCAATTTTACATATTTCTATGCAATAACTTTTTCATGTGGTAAAAACACACATCCATAATATTAAGTTTCAATTGAATTGTAATATCAAAAGTAGGTTTCACTTGGAATATCCCATGAATTCTATTTCTTCTTTATTCATACCATGCTATAGCTTCTCATGTTTCTATTGTTTCGCCATTCAACTATTTCTTCTTTTGATTTCTGGTTTTTTTCATAGGACTCCTCATCAAGACTCTTTGGTTAATTTTAGGTTGGCCGGCATCCTTAATGATAATATCATCAGTATTAGTGTTCACTTGGACAACAAAGAATTTCTCGATTACTAATTTTTACATTATTCTTCATGTGAATGGAACTTCTACGCACACTTCGGCATTATCCCATATCTTTACTTTTGATGGGGACATCAGATTTCGACATGTGTACCATCGCCCGAAACACAGATCGACGGCCACGATGATTTGGATTTTCATCATTTTATGTAGTAGTTTAATTTTATTTTACATTTTTCGTTTTTGCCCTTATGGGTATTTGGTCGTTATTGTAGCCCGAGGGGCATTTTAGTCTTTTGCTTTCTTTGTCATTGTGAGGCCTATTTATATGGTCATTTTCTTATGTAATAGTTTTTAGTTTTTGATGAAATGAAAATTTACTACTTGTTCTCTTTGTGAGTTCCTCCCTCCAAGATCTCTTAGTGAGTTCGCCGGAGAAGACTAGATCTCTTTGTGAGTTCTAGTTTTTGTGCTAGCTAATCTTGTGGAAATTCAACGAGAAGACATTTGAGGTTAGTAAATTTGTAGTCGTCAAATCCCCAGAAAATTCCATCTCTTTTCCCCCTTGCCCTTGTCGCCACCTGCTCCAAGCAGCCCTAAGCCGCCGGCCACCTTGCCCCCCCCCGTAAGTTTCTCAAGAGAGGCCACGTCACTATTTTGGTTGCTCTCATCTCTCCATGGGGCCGGCCACCTTCTCCTCTTTTATCTCTCCAATCCCCACCAATCAATACTCAAATATCTCCTAAATCCCTCCCCATCTCTCACGGGATTTCAGTTTTATTTCAAATTTCAAACCTGAGATTTGAAACAAATCTTCCCTGTCTCCTCTAAATTAAAATCTGAAATCAGATTCAGCTTTCTTCCCTCCCACTAAATAACATCTATTTTCCTTCTCCCTCCACCACCCCAAGACCTGCCACCTCCTATTCCCTCTCGGGTACTCCTTCAACCCTAGGCAAGAATGCATGGCCGACCCCGAATTTGAATGGGGACTTGTGTTCGACGCCCACGGTAATCTCGACATCTGGCAATCGCCTTTCTTTGACGCGGGATTTGATTCCGACGACGACACCGTTGGAGCTTACTTGGACCGGATCCTCCCGACTCTCATACACGTCATCGACAAACAACGTCCATACTCCGAGTGGATCATTGACGGCCGCCCACCCGCTCCTCCAAATCCGGCTTCTTCTCCGGCGACGAATCCTCTCGGGATCACTTGTCTACTAGTGGCATCGCTAAGTCTACTTACGATTCTCCTCCGCTAGCCACCACTTTCAAAATGAGCGAAGGACTTCAAGGTGAATGATCTAAGTATTAAATTTGGGGCTTTGTTATTCGTAGCTATTGGCATTACTTAAATTCTTGGTGATATTTTGAAAAGCTCCTCTAATCTTTACATGTAATTTATTATCATTGCTTAATCTATCAATGTCTTATTCTTAAACTCAACTTGAGCAAACAAAGAGTTTTAGTAGCAAGGTAAAAGTCATTACTTCTATTAATTCTCAAGTGCAATTCTTGATTCACCGCATGTTGTTTTACATCAACTTTGGGATGGGTTCCTTCACCTTCCTCGCACATCTTCAATTGCTACAAAATGGAAAGATTTATGTTTTTGCACAGATCAACTTTTCCTTGTTATTCCCATTTAATTCAATTTGTTCGGCTAGCCACTGATCTTATTCATTATATGCTCTCTCTAATCTCATTTGTTTGGTTTTATGTTGTTATGCTCTATATATTTCTCTGTTGTTACCTTCTCCTATTTCTTTTGGCAACTCACTAGGGATTTGGTTGTTGACTCTGCTTCGGCTTTGTTGACTCCTTGTGCTTAATTAAATATCTATTATCTTGGTTCTTTCTTATGTTCTATAGTTTTGAATATTGATGTTTTTTTTTTTAATTTATTGGTTGATAGCCCGACTCTTGACAGTGGCTAATTTCTTGTTTATTTGGAGGCAATTTTGCTAGCATTTTATCAGCTTATATGGTTTGGTTAATGATAGGAAACTCTTGGATTTCCAAGTGTTTCTCACCAAAACCAAAGTAAATCCAAGCAAATATTGCTGTCCACAGCAGAAAAACAGCAAAACTGCAGAAAAACTGAGAGAAAGAAGTAGGGAGAATCGTAGAAAAACGATGCAAACACTTTTATTTCAATAAAGGATGAAAAGCACTTGCAAGATACAACTTTCCTTCAATTCGAGAGGAAGGAAAAACTCTCCAACGATCTCCGGCAACGCCAAGAGCCCAAGAGCAACAAACCCTAGATCTCCCAAGAAATTCAAAATCAAGATAATCCCCCTTTTCCTCCTAACCTCCTAATTAACCATAAAGGAGTTTTACAAAATGTCTAAACAGCCCCTCGCATTCAAAATTTCCCTCCCAAAATTCTTCCCTGGCCCCCGTCGGCTTTGCTCCCTCTCCGCTCGGTTCCACCTGCGTGCTTTTGTTTCGTCGCGAGAAGACCCGGACCGGTCCAGGTTGGACCGGTCCAGCCGGCCCCTCCTGGGCCGGCATAACAGTTAATTCAACTACTTTAATCTCTGATTCTTTTGTACATTGACCTATACGATCAATAAGGATGGCTGAAAAAAGCTTTCAACGTTTTTTGATTGAAAACTTAGTAAAATTTGATTTAATTAATCTCTGAACTATATTTGACAGTCTTTCGAGTAGTGCATGCTTAAGTTTAATATCTGGTTCCTTGTGGTTCAATTTGCAAGTTCTGTTTCCTGCACATTTTTAAAGTTTTGTTCCCTACATTCAATTTGCAAGTTTGGTCCCCTATATTTGTTTAAGTCATGTGCATTTTCAGTATGAATTTTGACATCCTCCCATCATTTCCCTATAGAGAAAATTTAGGGAGTCTTAGCCTTCCCACTACATTAAGAAAGACGTGTATGATCGATGTCGAATGATATCGTGTGCATGGGTCTTCGGGGGTACCTATTTGAAAACGCAATTTTTCCCTGTAGGCACTGAAGCTCGTACACGAGTATTTAAGTTTTACCCTGCCAAGCTAAGAAAAACGTGCACAAGGGTCGCCCGCCTCACTACAAGCACCGCACCGGGTTTCCTTCCACTAAGCTAAGAAAAGCTTGCATAGGTGGTTTTCGGGTGCGCCGCGAGCGCCGAAAACGGGATATGAGATTTTTGAGTTTTGGAAACATTATACCTTAGTAAGGGGTCCAGAGCGGCGGTGTCGGGAAAACAACAACGAATGCACAAAAAACCTATTTTCTCTCTTTTCTTTATTTTTTTAAAATCCCTCATTCTTTTTTTTTTCTTTCTTTTTTCTTCTTCTTTTGCTTTCTCTTTTTTTTTTTTTTTTTCAAACTAATAATAATGATAATAACAAAGGGAAAATGCGTTGTTGTGGAGTTTGGAGTATGGGGCTGGTAATGACTGTTTTAAGTTGGATTAGGGAAGTCATTTGGGTTTGGTTGAGAGGATATGAGGCTATTTGAATGGGCTGCGATTGTGAAGGAATTAGAAGGCTGCTGTAGTTGAGGGAGTGGTGTACAGTTGGTTGGAAGAGAGAGTTTGAGCTGTGGTAGGTTGTGAGGCTGCAGGTCAGAGAAGAGGATATAGTCAACAGCTCGACTGGAGGTGGTTGGATAGATCAGTTGGGTCGGCAGAGGCTGTAAGGAGGCAAGATCGTTGCTAGAATCGAATGCTTGCGGCAAGAGGAGGGATCGAGTCAGCACAGTGCTGTTGGTGACGTTGATCTGCTCAGCTGGGGAAGAAGCATGTAAGTATAGGGATTTGAGCAGAGGGGCTATTTGCAGTTTAGGGTCGGGCTGGGAGCGAAAAAGGATTGAACGACCTCGTGCAAATGGGCTGAGGGAGGCGGATCAGAGTCAGAAGGGCGTGTGCGGCACACTGATGCGAAGGAGCCACTGAACTGGGTCGGACGAAGGCGCTAGAGCAGACTGAGGGGCTCGGATTCTACGGCCGTGCGTGGGATTTAGTCAGCTATAGGGAGTGGATTGTGGACGGGAGGAGCTGAATCGAACGGGTTGAAGGCCGGATCAGAGCTGAGTTTAGGTTCTATCTGGATTTGGAGGTGAGCGAGGGTTGGGATTAGGTTGAGGAATCGAAAGCAGTGATGAGAGCATCTAAGGAAGCTCGATCGTTTAGGATAGCTAGGGTCAGTGAAGAGTAGAGGGAATCAAAAGGGAAGGCTGGATCTCTTG